TTCTAGGAGGTAGTGGGTTTTCGCCTGGCAAGCGTTCTCCCTTTAAAAAGCCACATGTGTCTGTTTAACAACCCTACAATGTAGCAGATGTGACTCGCCACTAAATAAAGTCACCATCCCTTGTTTCACTTTCGTGAATCATTGTATCCCGGCATATTTCTGCTGAAGTTGTGGGGAAGATTGGGCTCATGTTTGGCTAATCAGCAAACGAAAAACGTATGAACTGAGCAAGCAGTCATCGCCTCGCAATGGGTGCGAATCTCTGACTTCGCTCCGCTGCCTTGCGGATGGGCTATTGAGCCAAAGACTTCGGCCTGAACAACCGGGTAGTATCGTGCCCTCTGTGAAAACCATGGATTTCACACTTACGTCGCTTACTTCTGCTGCTACTTTCGCTGTTACTCGTGCTTCTCCATCACACGCCAACTTTGCTCTTGTTGATAATGTACAATCTGTTGATTCTACTTCCAATGCCCTTCTCGATGGTATCCAACTCAACCGACCATCAGCCATCCTTCGACCCCGCAATTCATTCCGTCTGGCAGCGTTCAATGTTCGGACCCTCCTACAGATTGGACAATAGGCTGGTCTGGCGCGCAATCTAGAGTCCTTCGCTATCGATGTTTGTTGCCATTCAGAGACTCGACTACATGATCCCAGCACCATGGTTAAATTGTCGTCCCCAGCTGCTCTTGAGACCACATATTACCCAGGTCTGTCTAGTGACATGGAAGCAACAACAGCCGGTTTAGCTGGTGTCGGTATCATATTGAGTGACAAAGCAGAGGCTGCATTACTCGACTGGTTTCCAATCGACAGCCGGCTGTGTGCGGTTCAGCTTCAAGGCTCATGTAGAATCAACAGACATTGTGAAGAGAAGCGCAATTGGTTTTTCGTTTCTGTCTATGATCCAACCAACTGCAGCTGTGTATCAGCTAAGGATGACTTTTATCGTAGTCTCCACAACCTTTTGAACAACGCCGAAAAGTCAGATGTCATCGTCCTTGTCGGAGATCTCAATGAACGAGTAGGTCGCCTGCTTCCGCACGAACGTCATCTTGATGGCAGGCACGCGCTTGATGAGAGCCGTTCTGACAACGGTTATAGACTTCCTACGTTATACAAAGACCACCATCTGTTTCTTTCAAGTACAAACTTTAGACATACCAGAAGACGCCCAGCCACTTGGCGTCCTCCTTCATGAACACTAGCGTGTTCACAAATAGATCACATTGCAATCAGCTTTAGATGGCGAGGCAGCGTCCGGGGGTTGCAGATCGACTTTTTCTAGGTACCTCGATTCGGACTATGCTTTGGTCCGCGCGGACATATGTATGCGCTTCGGCAGCTCCTCAAAACGAAATGTCGTTACGCTCGACACCAACAAGTTAGCTAACCTCTCTACTCGATCAACTTATCAAGCTTCCTTATCGCACGCAGTCATTCGTGCTCCATCTCGAGACAAGGAAAATCATTGAAGTTTCCTGCGTGAAGCGATGTTAACTTCCATGCATTCAATCTGCGGAATCACAAGGCACCCTCTGAGGGGCTTGATTTCCGCACACTCACTGGAATTGTTTGATCGTCGTAGAGGTATCCCGGCCGATTCAAATAGCATTGCATTACGTTGCATTCTCAGCCAACAAGTTAAACAAAGTCTGCGTGCTGATCGCGAAATTTGGTGGTACCAGCGCGCCTCAGAGATGGAAACGGTAGCCCTCTCTGGAAACGTCCGTAAGCTCTTCCAGGTCATGGGCCACTAGTCACAAAAGACCTGGTGTCGGTGAGATTATTTGTGAGGTTGACGGAACGCCGATAAGCAAATTACACAGGCGTACAGACCGCCGGGCTGAACACTTCCGCACTTAATCCAACTGGCCTCCTCCGCCGGCAAGCCTATTGTGTATACCTAGTTGCGCGCCTTGGAACGTCTCATTGAAACCACCCACTGAAGCTGAGGTCTGTCTTGAGCTTCGACACTTGAAGCGATTCAAGTCTGTTGGTCCAGATGGACTTCCTCTAGACCTGTTCAACTTCGGGAGCGAAGCACCTGTCAACCAGTTAACAGCTTTGTTCTCTGAGATCTGGTGTGAAGAAACAGTTCCATCCGCTTGGAGCGCGTCAATTATCGTCGCGATCTTCAAGAAAGGTACCTATACCCTATGCGCTAACCACCGAAGAATTAGTCTAAGATCCGTTGCCCCTAAGCTGTTAACATCCATTCTCCTCCACAGACTAACCCCGATTCGAGAATTGCGCTCCTGTGAAGAACAGGTTGGTTTCCTCCCCGGTCGAGGGTGTATAGACAACTTGTTTACGCTCCGTCAACTTATTGAAACGCGACATTCTTACCGCCAGGCCACTATCGTTGTTTTTCTGGACATCCGAGCCGCTTTCGAATACGTCGACCGGCCAGCTTTATGGTGTTCCTTACAATGGAATGGAACGATTGAGGATGTTCTTTTAAACACTCTCGACAGCTTTCAGGTTTTTGATGTAGAGCTTCTTTCTGACAACCGCGTGACCGATTTTGATTATACTGATGATACTGTCTCACTTGGTGATGACCCACAAAGCACCTAAGCCGTTCTAAACCGCTTGGCGATTGAAGCACCATAATATGGAATGACCTTTGCCCCTACGAAATGCAAAGTCCTGGTCCTGGATTGGCAGCCACCTGCTCCAGTGCTCACTCTTCAAGGTACGCAGCTTGAAGAAGTAGACAAATTGGTTTACCTGGGAAGCTGTGTTTCTGCTGACGGTAGCATTTGAAAAGAGATATTCCTCCGCATTACCAACGCCCGTTCGGCATTCGCCAACTTGAGGCATCTGTGGCGACGCCGTGACGTTTCGCTATTGCTAAAGGATAGGGTCTACAAGGCCTGTGCTCGAACGGGCTGCTGTATGGGAAGAATACTGCATCGGGCCCAATGGAAAATGGGTGAAAAGGTTGGTATTGATTTTCTTGATTTATATCGCAAACATTAAACAGACAAAAATAATAAAAATAAGACGGTGTGAAAAAATGAAAAAACAAGATGCAAAAAAACTGGCGGCGTAGCAGTGATGCTCACGCTTCTTCGGTAGCAATGACAAAAGAGATGAAAACAAAAGACCTAACGCAGATATGTCTGTCCCAGGAATGTTAGTTTGAAAAAACCTACTTTTGACCAGGGATATAACAATGTGTAGACATTAAGGAGCAATCGTTACCCATGTGCCACTTACGAATGATACTCTGGCCAAATGATCTCATTAAGTCTGTTGTATTATTATAATGCGTTATTAAACTGCTGGCTTCTTATTCGAAAAACAGTTTAGCGCTCTCAGAGATTTGGTAGTTCTCAAGAAGTACTGTCTTTCAGTGCTGCGACCTATCAGACAGACACCACTGGCCCAGAAAAGTGCATACTGCCACCGGGGTCCTGGAGAGGACACTTGTCAGCTGGATTGAGGAACCAGCGCGTTGAGCAAGCCAAAATTACTTCGAAAGGATTGATGACTCAGCGACGAGAATCCGTGCGCCTGATGGTCAAATTCATGTCTTCTGCACGACAGTGGCGTGGGGGCCGATGGAAGACGGGCAGCGATACACCACCAGTTGAGCAATGCCGTCGGTTGGTAGCGATTCTTGTAGCACCCAGTGGTATGAGTGTTGCAATATAAAAGAGCATTAAGGGCCCGATGGCCTAATGAGTGTTCGAACGGAGTGCATATTGCGGATACAGCACGAGGGAGTCGCAATGTTGTCTGGTTATTTTTCGTGCCGGTGACATGTGTACTACAAACCTGGCTGCGGATTCCGTTAAAATGTGTGAAATTCGTCAAATAGCTGGTGCGGGTTTACTGAGACTGTATTTAAAAACAAGTAGAAAGGTTTCTGTACAACTATATGGAATTATGAAAAACCAACAGCATTTAGTTGTGAATCGTCAGCGGTTGTGCCTGGTCAGTTAATCGTTTACCCTTGTTCGGTTAGGAATTTGTATTGGTGTCTTTATTTCCGGGCATACGATGTCTTCTTGCAGCATTGTATGTGCATCGCTTCACAAAAGCACAAGTTTCCGAACTAATCGTCGATATGTGTTTTAAAACACTTCACAGAATCTGCCTCTATTAATCCTTCTAATAGTGCATTCCATAAGTTTACGATTCTACGTCCTATGCAAAGCTGTGATACTTTGTTCATGCAGGGGACGCTGAGTTTGTACCAGTGTCCTCGGGAGTTACACGGGTCCCCGAAGGTGAAAGATTGGTCGCAGAATGGGGAAATGATTCAAGTGTAGTACTCGATGGGTCATAATAAGGTCAGTTCTTACTCGGCGGTAGGATAGTGTACTTGGTGGTTATTTTTTCAGTCGGCTGACATCTCCGAAGTGCCTAAAAATAGCTACTGGTCAGGTGCTGTTAGAAGTGTAGAAGGTTCTAAGATATGCACTGAGGGACAAAAATCCGGAATCACATTACGATTAAGCCTACTTAATACCGCCCATTCAGTGTGACTAGCTAATAGTTCTCAAATGTACAAGATTGGTTTCGAAAACCGAAATCAGAAAATATATTCGACAAATCTTAGTATCAAATTGTACCAACACTCGGTCCTTTGAAAGGTGCCACAATTTTGGTACACTCTCAACAAGCAGCCCGAAAACCCTCAGTGAAAGGATGCAAGGCTCAACACTATTCGGCAACAACGAACTTTGTCTGCTATCATACCTAATCACTGTAAACACCCCATGATAACAGATGGAACAATCGATTAACACATGTAGATGTAAACAGCGTCCACAGGACAACATATTGACCAGTGTGTCGGTCATTCTGTCTGCTGGCCGGACACTGGGCTGTGCAGTCGTAGCTGACTAGCTATGCATTGGATTCACCTCTGGTTGCGACAACGAGTTGGCGAGCCTAGGCCGCAGTCAAAGCGTGTAGCAGTCTTGTTTGACCATGGTGCAGAACAGATGCTAATCGTGTTCCATGGAATTAAATGGACTGACCTTTTGAGAGCGTCGTAGCATTCCTTCCATGATCGCCGGGGTCGGTGGCTTCAGTTCATTGTTAATGAGATAATAATCCACGGTGCATACTCTTTGCAGTTTACCACCGAGAAACGCGATTGGTGCACGGTAGTCAGAGCAAGAGCCACAAAACACCTGCGAATTGGGGAAGCGAAAATGCGAAGTTGAGTACCATTTGGGACACGAAATGCGACCAGACACATGTAAGGTATGAGTGAAAAGGGGTTCATGGCTCTATTACATATTGGAATACAATTTACGATAGTGAGGCATCGAATAGGACTAAGAGTTGCACCAACTGCACATGTGGTTACATGATACTCATTAGACAGACAACTTGGCTGATGTACATATTTAAAAAAGCATGCAGGAGACTGAGTGCATGTTCGCAACCAATTTGCGGGGGGTGGAGAGTCGGTGTCAGTTAACCAGTGGAAATAAACACACAGCAGAATAGAAGTCTTCAAATTGCTGCTTAGCAGCAATACACACTGCCTATTACTGCACTGAAGATGCCACCTCGCATGGTGGTGAAACGTATGCGATTTCTTAATCAAGCTCGTAAAAACAATCAACAGGTGAGAATTCATCTATCTTCAACCAGATTTATGAAACACCGGCAGGAAAGTGATTTTCTAACAAAGCAAAAGTTGCTCTGACTAAGCAATCTGTCCCCGATATTATTCCGTCCTGACCAATCAGAACGTGTTGTCAGCTAAACACGAATAGCTCACTCACCTCAAGTTACACCGGTGTTACAGCGAGCATCTCTCTAACAGCCAATTCCACTTTACTGCTTTTGGATAATGTCGCCGACATTCTGCTCTTCGGCTTTCCATCAGCCTATCATCTGTTACCCATCCCAGCGTTTATCTAACCCACTATTTCTGATCCGTCGAGCAACAACATTGCGGCCGAGAAGTCTAGGGCAGGTCAAACATCTGGGTCACGGATAACGGGAGTGTTGGAACGCATTGTCTGGAAAGGAGGAAATTTGCCTGTTGGCGCCTCACATATAGGGTCGCAGCTAGGTATGCACCACTACATATCTTTAGGGTAGTAATTCTATTCGTTAGTTCATGATATCAATCCAGTGCCCGAACCTTACTCTTGTGCACTTGTAATATACGAAACAGTGGCCTGTTCACATAACAGCGAACCAATACTTCTTGGACACCGAGAGTAGTCGAGTTCGTTAGCTCCCAAAGCTAGGGGATCAGATCATGATAATATAGACGAAGAATGATGTGAGCCCTACTGTCGAAATTACCATACCCACCATGTCCATCCCGAGTAGCGATCGACCTAGTGAGGTCGATGGGCCATTTGTGTCTCATCGTGGTGGCACACACTCCAACCTCGTTGGAGACCAGAAAGTTCAAGTGGTTGACTTGCTTGGTGCCATCTGCACCAAGGATGTGGCGATATATTGTTTGTGGCGGTCGTGTGTTGCCCTCTAATGTCCACTTTGGAAAGGGGCTGTGCTGTGTGTTTCATGCTAACACAACTTCGTACACTCAGGTCCATTTAGTGGCACACGTCAAGTTGCATGCTTTAGAATCCCCAGTCTATCGCTGAAGTGTTCGGGCCAAGTTTCAAGATCCACCCGCCGGTTTACTGGTTGATAGGCGCGTAATTTCTCGCTTAATGTCAATAGCGGAGAGCAAACATAACTTGCGCAACAGAAACGTATCGGTTGCACGACAATGTCTGGCACTTGTGCAAGAAACGCGATGGAGAGCCCTCTATCCAAAACCCTTGGTTGGCGGTTGAACACAGGAATTTTCTTCGTACAAGGGTCTTGTTGTTGGCCATGATAATCATTTTCTGATGGCTAGAATTCAAAGAGGACACGTAACGCACTCAATTTTATATTGATGGAATTTATTTAACTGCCAGTCTCTTCACCTGGTTGTGAAGCACGGGTCTACATCGGTCATCGATCCGGGAGAACGGTTTCTTTTGAATCTAACACTATTGTTGCGCGATGATGGCACCCAAGTAGCCTCAAATATATCGCTTATGATACGTCACTACAGGAAGAGAGTTGTTAAACAGCTAAGTACGGATATCAGCTCATCTAAACTGTTATTGCTACAAAGTAAGTGAAGCAAATTTTCGAATCTACTTATTTTCAAAAAACCCAAAATTTCTCACTACTGAACAAGCACCCCTATCCAATGTGAATGTTTCGCTCCCGTTGTTGTATCAACTGAGGGACAGGTGTGGTATTCGCTTCGTCATGTAATAATCATTATTCATATCTCACCATGACCATCCACCTACACGCGCATTCAGCTGATACTGGTCCCGTGCCACAGTAGATTAAACCAAGTTCTTCTACTGACAACGCGGGTCCGGTAACCTAAAGAGTTGATCACTCGTGATCACGTGGTTAGATGTGAGTTGAGCCGAACAGGCGTACAGGAGACGATATGATTTCGAAAACCAGCGAGAGAAGCGCACGTGTGAAAGGTGAGCGTAGCAACCACCGTGAGAATTCTGGGCGGGGTCAAAGGAGCAAGCGAGTCAAGACTGACTGATAAACCGAAGTGAGCAGCTAAGTGTGCGGATCGAAGGCAATCATTACGCTTGAGAGAGCAGTGGTCGGCTGACTTCAGACATTTCACATCGAACGGAAAATGTTCTTCGAACTACATCAGCCCCCGTTCACACCTGGGTACGCATGTCAGAGGATTTCTTGATTTGTCTACCATTTGTCGATTGTACAAAATCTGATTTTCAAACTCTGAGAAATTCTCAAATACACGAAGAAGGTATTAGCAGTATGCCCGTAATTGGATAGGTTTAGTGCGTTTGGCATTTTGTTGTTCGAAGAATGGTGCAAACCTTGTGCTTTTTTAGCCACTCTCCACCGAGGAAGCTCAGTGGGAGTCAAGTCACTGTTCTGCCAAAGCTATCGGGCGATATCTACTATGTGGAGTCTCATGCATGGCTTCAGTAATTGGCTGAAGTTTGTCGGGTTGAATTGATCGGGCGCCTTTTACAAGCGAATGAAGTGCCGATGGGCTTTATATCTTTACTGTCTAGCTCTCATGAATGACGCGCTGCATAAACTGTTCACCGAGAAGCTATTTGTGAGAGTTCCGATACTTTGTGCTTGGCTGCATTAGCTTGGATCCTGTTCTGGGTTACTCACTTGCATACTTTATCGAGATCAATTTGCAGTAATGTATGATCAGCTAGTGTTTTAAATATATAAACTAATGGTATATTCCCCTGCGGTGCGAGGCACAGTCCAACTATGTGGTCTGATCCATGACTAGTGAATGATGTAGATTGGGTGGTCAGTATACCTTGACAGATCGTGTTAATCTACGTTCGTAGTTCCAATCCCTAGTGCAGCGTTAGTACGCCGTCCATCCCTGGAACTTCTTTCCTACGTGATGTCAGGCTTTTTAGTGGCTCCCATGAAGTTCGCGGTATTTAGAAGCTTTACTCGATTACGGTATTGATCAGGATTCTGATGCAATCGTGCTGCAGGAGATAGATTGCGTCCGCTGTCCATAAAGAATGTATAATAGGGATAACAATGTGCTCCTGACCTTTTCGCAACGGCATGTTTTGTGTTGTCCGTAATAGTATGAAGCTGGCATGATAGTTATTTGTAAACTATCCAAATTTCTCTCTACTCCCAAGTGCGTTATATGAAGCAAAGGTTTGACGCGAATGCTCAGATAGTGAAGCCACTGAAGACAAGAAGGTAGTTGAACAAGTCAGTCTAGACAGGTAAAGTGGACAGGAGACCGATCAGTTACTCCGCGGAAGGTCTTTGGAAGCTTCCGATGTATGTTGTATTTGTATTTTGCATGTAGTATTTGTGCAAATTTGTATGGATAGACCTGCAGTCTTCCAGAAGTGGACGTGTGCCCAACCTGCGTTGCTTCAGTTAGTAGCAAGCGTAAAGGCAAGGAAGTGTGTAGATCTAGGTTGCCATTGTCCCATTTGCCTTGACCACTTAAAGATATACAATAAGTTAGAATAATCCTCATATTGCAATTTCCTACGCAATCGGTATATAAAATGTGTGGTAGAACGCAGCGGAATATCTGTTATAACAGATGGAATAATGAACGCATCTGTGTGAAACTAACTGTGATCTAGAAGTACGATACCCTTCAAATTTCAATTTCTCAGAACAGGCCGAATATCAAACAGCGCGGACCAAACGGTCTATGGCTAGCCTTTTCTCATATAATTCATACAATCCTAAGCAAGACCGAACTTTTAAAATCCCAACCCTTCTCATCCTTTGGTGCAGCAGCGTCATGTATGAAAACATGCTCTGGAAAACCTGAAAAGATCTTTCATTAAACGCTTGTTCAGCGAATAGTTCACCTTGAGCTATCAAGACCGTTGCCAGAAGTGTCACTTCGTGTCTCCGGTTGAGACGACTGAAACATGACCTTATGCTCACGCATAACCTCATAAACCAAAAGACTTACTTCAGTAGGTGCACATTAGAATTACAACATAAGTTCATCCGGTGGCTTTGCAACAAAATTTGTAAACTAATTGCACCAAGAACCAAGACGGATATTCGATCCAACTTCTTCCTCCTCAGACATGCTGTTCCGTGGAAGTGGCTACCAGGCGCTAACGGACATTGTGCAAATGCAAGAACATTCCACATTACACTTGGAAAAATATAGACAAAAACCCGAGAATGGCTATGTTTTCGTCGAGAAAATCATCAAATGAATTCTTCCAGGATGGATCAAAGAATATATAGCCAGTGGGAAAAGCCGCTGCATAAAACGCAACACACACATGTAATGACCCATTTGCTAATGAATACATAGCAGACTCACGCATGAGCATGAGCTGTGACCTCTTCCTGGTCCGGGAACAGCCTCTCGTACAATCAAGGAATGCACGTATTGAATGGAGATATTACAGTAAAAAGTCCATCTGCCACTGGCTACCACATTGTTTTAGGGAGTTTGGATATTACAGAGTGGGTTTGATGGAACTGCGTGGGTCATCATCCCTGAGAGAGAACCACACTGCTTAAATTATTCGGCAGATATGAGTGAGGAGTCATGATGATTAATGCGGTCAAAGATGCCGGCAATTGTAGGAATCATAGCAGAACGCCCAGTACGGTGCCCTGG